CACCCTGCGCCGGGCGCCGCGGGCCGGCGGGGTTGCCCCGCCCCTGGAGCTTCGCGGGCCTCCGGTTCGCGGGCGCCGGCAGCTCTTGCATGGGCGCCAGGGGGGTCATCGACCCTGCGCGCGCGCCGGCAGCGCTGATGCGAAGCGGGGCCGCGCTCGACCGCGCCTTCGCGAATCACGATTGGATTGCCGCCCTCGCCCAGCCTCCCCTGGGTGTACCCCCAGAGGTCGAGCAGCGCGGGCTGGAAGGCACACAAATGCCCTGCGCGGCGGCCCGTGGCTGTGTCCACGAGCAAGTGCCCTCCCGTCGGGGGGCCGCCGCCGTCCGCCCGGGCGTCGCTGGCTATGACCACCGGCGGCCCGTGGGGCGCGCGCAGGGGCACGAGACGGCGCGGCTGCCCCTGCAGGATCGCGCCGAAGAAATCAAAGCTCCGGCGCAGCGCTTTGCTCAACGACCACGGCGCGACGTCGGCATATTGGCGCTGCTTGACCAGGCCCATGACCGCGTGGCCCACTCCGTCCCAGAGCGCTGTGGCAGTGAACCCAAGAATTCCCCGCAACTTGGAAGCCTCACCCGGCGGCAGCGAATCGTTGGCGTCGGCTGATTGCATGAACGCCAGCGTGCGTATCCGCTGCGCCGAGTGACTACGACTACTACCACTACCACTACGACTACGACTACGACTACTACTACTACTACTACTACTACTACTACTACTACTACTACTACTACTACTACTACTACAACAACTACAACTACTACTCCCACGACTACTACGACAATTACGACGACAACTAAAACGACAACCACTACTACTACGACGACGACGACTACTACTACTACTGCTGTTTCTGCTGCTGTTTCTGCTGCTGCTACGACTACTGCAACAACAACTACTACTGTTTCAGTTGCTGCTAACACTACTGCAACAACAGCTACTACTACGACGACTACTACTACTACTACTACTACTACGACTACTACTACTACGACTACGACTACGACTACTACGACGAAGACGACGACGAGGACTACTACTACTACTACGACTACTACTACTACTACTACTACTACTACTACTACTACTTCTACTACTTCTACTACTACTACTACTACTACTACTACTGATACCCACGCACACCAACCAACGGACGAGAGCATCTACATTCTTAATAAGTCATACATCTACAGCTAGTAGTACTACTAGTACGACTGCAACTGGTACTGTGAATACATATACCGCCACAAATGCTCGCAATACTTGTTATGTTACACCGGACGCTGCCATCACTACTCCTACTCGGACACTTACTAGTACTACTACCACTAATGCTACGACCACTATCACTACTACTACTACTACTACTACTACTACTGCTACTACTACTACTGCTCCTACTGTACGTTACTACTACTACGACTACCAGTACTACTACTACTACTACTACTACTACTACTACTACTACTACTACTACTACTAGTACTACTACTACTACTAGTACTACTACTACTACTACTACTACTACTACCACTACTACTACTACTACTACTACTACTACTACGAATACCACTACTACTACTACTACTACTACTACTACTACTACTACTACTACTACTACTACTACTACTACTACTACTACTACTACTACTACTACTACTACTACTACTACTACTACTACTACCAGTGCCACTATTCCGACTACGGTCACTGATGCTACTACTCCTCCTACTCCTACGACTACTACTCCTACTACTCCTACTCCTACTACTACCACGACTAGTAGTATAGTAGTAGTAGTAGTACTACTACTACTACTAATACTACTACTACTATTACTACTACTACTACTACTACTATACTACTACTACTACTACTACTACTACTACTACTATTACTACTACTACTACTACTACTACTACTACTACTACTACTACGCTACTACGACTACTACTACTACTACTACTACTACTACTACTACTACTACTACTACTACTACTACTACTACTACTACTACTACTACTACTACTACTACTACTACTACTACTACTACTATATACTACTAACTACTACGTAGTAGTAGTAGTATAGTAGTACTAGTACTAGTACTAGTACGAGTACTACTAGTACTACCACTACTACCAGTACTACTACTACTACTACTACTACTACTACTACTACTACTACTGCTACTACTACTATCATAACTACACTTACAACATCTGCTGCTACGACTACTACTACTACTACTACTACTACTACTACTACTACTACTACTACTACTACTACTACTACTACTACTACCACTACTAATACGAAAACACAGATTTCTACGATTACGGCTGCGACTACTAATACTAATCCTACCACCACTATTACCTAACAGCGAAGACTGATAGGTTTCTAATTGACTCAAAAGAGCTCACAAATCACTCCACAGGGGGGTCCGGGCAGGCGTTGGGAGTTGCCGGCCGGGCCTGTGCTGGGCTCGTTTTTCACCAACAGTCACACACTTCGTGCTCGTCGACCTCTCAGAACCCCATTCCCAGGCCACATTCTGAATAACCGGATGCAACAGTCATACACTTGGTGCTCCTTGACCTCCCAGAACGCATTCCCGGGCCACATTTTGAATGCCCGGAGCCAACTGTAGGCCACTTCGTGTCTTCGAGTTCCCAGAACTCCATTCCCGGGCCACATTTTGGATGCCCGGAGCCAACTGTAGGCCACTTCGTGGTCTTCGAGTTCCCAGAACTCCATTCCCGGGCACATTTTGAATGCCCCGAGCCAACTGTAGGCCACTTCGTGTCTTCGAGTTCCCAGAACTCCATTCCCGGGCCACATTTTGGATGCCCGGAGCCAACTGTAGGCCACTTCGTGGTCTTCGAGTTCCCAGAACTCCATTCCCGGGCCACATTTTGGATGCCCGGAGCCAACTGTAGGCCACTTCGTGGTCTTCGAGTTCCCAGAACTCCATTCCTGGGCATGAATTTGAATGCCCGGAGCCAACTGTAGGCCACTTCGTGTTCTTCGAGTTCCCAGAACTCCATTCCCGGGCCACATTTTGAATGCTGAGGCAGGCTGAGGCTGAGGCTGAGGCAGGCTGATGCTGAGGCAGGCTGAGGCTGAGGCTGAGGCCGATGCAGGCTGAGGCTGAGGCAGCTGAGGCTGACGCCGAGGCTGAAGGCAGACTGAGGCTGAGGCTGAAGCAGGCTGAGGCTGAGGCTGAGGCAGGCTGAGGCTGAGGCAGGCTGAGGCTGAGGCTGAGGCAGGCTGAGGCTGAGGCTGTGTCTGTGACTGCCGTTGCCACTGCGACTGTCATCGCGAATGCGACTACGACTGCGAGAACAGCACAATTCTACAACTGGATTCTCATCTGAATCTTAAGGGGAATGCTTCCAGATATGCTCCTACACATCGCTGTTAGGTTGCTTTGCCGGGATATTTTTTTTTATAATTACTACGATTCTTCTACTACTTCCACTACAATCCCTACTGCTAACATGACTACGACTACGAACACTAACGCTACTGCTGCCACCACTGCTCAAGCGCGTGCTACAACCGTTGCTGTGCGATCCACTCGTGCACCAGAATCTTGAGGATTCTTGCAGGATTTTTGGGGGATCCTGGAATCTCCTAGCGATCCCCTAAATAATCTCGTGAAAGCCTTCGCGGGGCCTCTAAGCAGCGTCTTGAGAGACTCTTGGATGCTTCCTCACAGATGTTTTAGATTCTCTGCGGGGCCTCACAATGTTTGAAGGTTTCTGAGAGTGTCAGCATCGCAGGGTTGCTGGGTTCGTTTCCTGGCAGCATGTTGGCGATCATGGGCGAATGAACAAATGGTCTTCTTTAAGATAAGTCATGTAGTTGAACGTCTTTTTCAAAAGCTCCTGATAAACCTCGGACGTGTTCCGCAACAGGCAACAATATGTAAAGCCCTCTGCCAAGGAACCTCTTCAAAATTTTTGATCTTCCGCCAGGGAACGAACCCTTCTGCCGGGTAACGAACCTTCTGCGGGGAACGATCCTTTCGTCCCTCCCCCCTCCCCCTGGACCTGGACGGGGCCTTCCACGAGGGGCTGGAGCGTTCAAGATGGCCTCGACGAGGAAACCCAAATCACACTTTACTCTACATTCTGGCCTCCTGGGAAGGGGACCCAATTGGAACCTCTCCCTTCGTTGATCGCTCACTTCAAGGGTGGTCCCAAGATAGCCCCCGATGCTTCCAAGGATGCCTCGAGAGGGCCCAAAAGAGGTGCCCAGGAGGCCGCAAGAGGCCCCAAGAGGCCCCTAAGATGCCCCCAAGAAGCTACCAAGAGATCCCAAATACAAGACACATCAACAGGCCTCGGCGAAAGGCCAACACCATTGATTCTACAAAGGTTTTGGCTACATGTTGGCCTCCTGGGAGGGGAGGCTAGTGTACTACGGCCCCTCCTTTGATCGGGCCCTCGAGGCTCCTGAGGGCGCCCCAAGAGGCCTCCAAAAGGCTCCCAAGATGCCTCCAAGAGACCCCCAAGAGGCCGGCCAAAGGCACCCAAGACGCCCCACGAGGCCCCCAAGAGGCCCCGAGAGCCCCCCAAGAGGCCCCCCAAAGGAACCCGAGCATGCCGAAATCATTTCTTACCAAGGTTTTGGCCACATGTTGGCCTCCTGGGAGGGGGGCCCTGAGTAAGGAGACCCCCTTGTTTGATCGATCTTTTCCAAGATGGCCCCGAGATGGCCCACGAGGCTTCCAAGGGTGCCCCAAGACGGCCCCAAGAGGTGCCCAGGAGGCTTCAAGCCCCCAAAGTGCCCCTAAGAGGCTCTCAAGAGACCCCCAAGAGGCCTCCCAGAGGCACCCACGACGACTCAAGAGGCCCCCCAAGACTCCAAGAAAGTCTCAAAGTGGGATACAGCGCCTTACCCAGCTTTACATTCCACAACATTATCCCGCATTCCTGATTAGGGCAAGTCGTCTGGGCATCTTTGCTGGATTGGCTGGTGGTTGCGCGAAGCGTCTAGAATAGATGTCCGAGCCTGATCCGATCATGGCGGCGAGGAGGCTCTCTGGCAGCCGCACGTACTATAGGCTTTCCTTGATGAGGCAACGAGTCCGATGGTAACGGGGCAAGGGTTGAAACGTTACCACACGCCAGTGAGAACGATAACCAGAAGCTTCAAATCGGCAGAGCCCCCTTGGGCAGCAGGCCAACGTTAAGCCAGATGCAGTGAGGACCCTGTCCACAAGCGAGTGCGGACTCCCTCAGAGCCTACCGCTGCGAGGACGGTTAGCAAAGATCGACGACGATTGCAAGTCTGCATGGCTTTGAGACCAGCTGGCCAGATCAGAGAATCTATGGATTCGGCTTTTGTTGGGGATTCGGTTTTCCGCGATGTATGGGACCAAGGGGCCAGGCGGACAGCGACGACGACGACGACGACGACGACGAGGGCGACATGGACGAGGGGGAGGAGGGAAAAGACGACGACTAAGTGGCGGAAGGCCAACACCCCCAGAAGTCGTCTCGGGCTCATGGGGTCGTCCGGTGCCACCTCGGAATAAAATCGGGTCACGCGGTAGCCCTAGATCAGTCGGAAGACAATGGGTTCGTCTCGGTGTTCTCTTGGGGCCGCAGGGTCGTCGCTCTGGGGTCATATTTGGGGCCATTACTTAGCAGGGGTGGGGATCTTGGGGCGACAGGGGCAACCTTGTGATCCTTTCGAAAGCCTCTTGGACCCATCTTGAAACCATGTTTCTGTTGCTGCCTCTCTCGTTGGAGTTGCTACAGGTGTTGCTGTTGCTGCTGGCGTCGATGCTGCAGCACGTGGTGCTGGTGTGCTGCAGTGTGAAATTTCGGGATCTCTTGGAGCCATCTTTCGGCCCGCGCGGGGCCCTCCTGGGCCTCTTGGGGCCCTGCGGGAACCCTCTGAGGGCCCTGACGAGGCCTCCGAGAGGGCCAATTATTCAACACACATGTAACACAAACCGCCTCTGCAACTATTGGAAAGCGTCTTGTGTTCAATGTGTGTTAACATGTTGGGCCCTCTCGGCGCCATCTTGGGGCCCTCTTGGGGCCCTCCTGGGCCCTCTTGGAGCCCTCAGAAGACCCTAGAAGGCCTCCAAGAGGGCTAATAATTCAACGCACATTCAAAACAAACCGCCTCCTTATTGAAGAGCGTCTTGTGTTAAGTTTGTGCTACATATCGGGCCCTCTCAGAACCCCCCAAGAAGGCCCAAGAAAAACTAAAGGAGGCCCCAAGAGGAGGCCTGTGTTTAGCTTCCACGAGGGGGGGTCACCATGTATCCGCTCCTTGTATACATGCTTCCTCTTGCGGGGCTCGGTTTGAGGCTCGGAGGGTCTTCAGGAGGGTTCCAACCTGAGGTATCCAAAGACTTCGCGTGAGCTTCGAGTGCGATTTCGCTGCTCCAAGACGGCTCCAAGACGGCCCCAGAGCGCGCCTAGACGGTCACAATGGCTTCAAGACGGCCAAAGAGACCCTGCAGACGCCCCCGGGGGGCTCCAAAAGGGTTCCCCAAGGGCTCCAAGATGCCAGAACCATAATTGTTCAATTGTTTTTAAAGGATTCCAGCGTTCTCGCTTTTACGGGGTTCCAACTTTCCAAGACGGCCCAATAGGCCACCAGGATCGCCCAACGACGGCCCAAACGGCCCCCGGAAAGTGTCCGAAGACGACCCACGAGGGCACCAAGACGACCCATTCGCAAGCAGCCGCGGCGCCGGGGTCACCATGTATCCGAACATTGTGCTAATTCGTGCATGTCTGAGACGATCGACGAGCCTCTTGGGAGCCCTTTTGGGAGCCTCGGGGGGCTTCTTGGGGCCCGACAGGGACCTCTTGGGTGCCTCTTGCGGTATGTTGGGACTTCTCGGGGGCTTCTTAGGGCGTCTTGGGGGGCTCTTTCGGGGCCCTGTTGGGGCCCCCAGAAGGCCCCGAGAAGACTCCAAGAAGGCCCCGAAACGTTTCTGGGCCACCCGGAGATGCTGCAAACCATCTCTGAGTGACCCGGAGACCTCTCGGGGCTTTTGGGGGGCTCCAGGACGGCTTGGGAGAGGTCAAAAGAAGCCCCAAGAGGGCCCCGAGAAGACTCCAAAAGGATTCCGAACCACCCGGAGATGCTGCAAAACCATCTCTGGGTGACCCAGAGACCTCTCGGGGCCCTCTTGGAGCTGTCTTGGGGGGCTCAAAGACGGCGGGGGTGAGGGCGGGAGAGAGGGGATGGACCTCCTGGAGATGCGGACGCGGAGGAGGGGGCGGCTTCTTGGGGCCTGATGGGGGCCTCTCGGGTGCCTCTTGCAATCTGTTGGGGTTTCTTGGGGGCCTCTCAGGGCCTCTTGGGGTTCCTGTGGAACCCTTGGGGCGTCTTCTCGGGGGTGTTTTGGGACCCTCTCGGGAGCTGAGAAGCGATGTTGTTGTTGCTGCTGTTGGTGATGCTGATGTCATCGTTGAAGTTTATGTATTCGTCAATACTGTAGTGGTGGTAATAAAACTGTGCTAGTCGTCGTTATCGTCGTCGTATTACTAGTAGTAGTGGTCGTAGTCGTAGTAGTAATAGTAGTAGTGATAGTCGTCGTAAGAGTAGTAGTAGTAGTAGTAGTAGTAGTAGTAGTAGTAGTAGTAGTAGTCGAAGTAGTAGCAGTAGTAGTAGTAGTAGTAGTAGTAGCAGGAGTAGTAGTAGTAACAATAGTAGTAGTAGTAGAGGTAGTAGTAGTAGTAGTAGTAGTAGTAGTAGTGGTAGTAGTCATAGTAGTACTAGTACTAGTACTAGTACTAGTACTACAAGTAGTAGTAGTAGTAGTAGTAGTAGTAGTAGTCG